TGCGCGGAGCATATCGCGCACGTCTAGCTGCTCATCCCATACTGGCTGTCCACTTCCTCTACCAATCGCTTCGTAATCCACACCAAATTGCCAAGGCACGTAGCGCTGCACATCAGCTTGAAGCACGGCCGAAGTGATCTTGCGTTGGGAGCCGGAGCCGCGCACAAAGCCAGAGCAGCAGATGACGGTGCTGTATGCGGCAAAGATGGAAGCTAGAGCGTCAATCGAGTCATCTGCGAGATCGCCATGGACGACATCAGCTCCCTTAACCTTGATGTGCTGCACCTTGCGCAGCCCGGCATCACTCGTAGGCGGGCGCAGGAGAACGTGGAGGGGATGTGGACTCGCTTCAGGCGCGTGGGCCATCAGACCTTCGATGACGGCCAGCCCCAATTCTCCTGCCCCAATCACAAGGGTGCGGGAAGAAGAAGGTTGTGACTGCGACACGTCTGATAATCTGGCAAAATCGGCAGAAGGTAGCGGTCCAAGAGCAGTCGTCTAAGAGCAGTCGTCTAAGAGGATTGCTTGCGCGCGCAGAGGACTGCGTGATGTTGGAGAGAGATCGAAGAGAAGAAGTCAGGTGGTGAGGCGGGGTCTGGGTCATTCGTTACTATACATCTTCGAGCTGTGCGGCCACGCGTATGAAGGCGATCAGGAATATGAAGGAATCATTCCAATTATTTGTGGGGCTGGCTATATCCGGTCAGCTGACCCAGCTTACCCTCTCTTCCACACCAAAAATCAAAAAGCGAGTGTGAGTGTCATGCTCCACTTCAACGCAAATGCAAGAGTGGAGTTTTGATTTTAGTGATGACTTTCAAGTTGAAGCTTTGATTTTGAAAGGGGCGATCTGACTGACGCACGTGACTGGGCACTTCTCCGCCCTGAAGCGAGGTAAGTACGGCACACGTGCATCTGGCCGTAAAGACGGTGTGGGAGGCGTTTTGGCACGGCAACACAACATATGCCGTTGTCTTCAAATTTCGATCAAGACTCGCTGGAGCGACTCTGCCCTCTGCACGCTGACCTCGACGATGCTCAAAGATTTCGCCTTTCCCGATCCATTAAATCTCCCTCTCTATGCATCACTCAATTTCTGTGATCGTATCAACATGACCATTAGTCCAGAAGACCCCTTTCTCGCAACCGCAACAAAGTATCGCAATGCAGCTGAAGCAAAGGCTGCGAAGCTCCGATAGAACCTTCCTCCGGGCTGTATTCGATCTGCAATACGAGTCGCGGCGGCATGCCAGACGAATCGACGGCATTCTCTGTCGATGCAGCATCGCGAGCAAGGTCGCAAATGCGTACCGACAACCTCTTCCACCTCGGACCACCCTCTGCATTTTCTGACGACTGCCGCTCTTGGTCTTTGGTCGCATTGGCGTCCTCTCCTTCGAATGTGCGAGGGGTGTGTACGCCAACGAGCTCCTGAGAGGATTGCAACAGTGTTTTTGCCGCCCAGCCCGCGTGATGTGACGTCGAGGAGCACGAGCGCGCCGCAAATGTGTCGGGATGCACGTCCGGGGCGCTTGATAAGCGCAGAAGTAGACCGGAGGGATGTCGGAGACAAACATCCATCCCTTGAGCATGCGCGTTTGCATCCGCATTCGATGGACTTTTCACAAGCTTCTTGACGGCCAGCTCCAAATCTGGGTCTTTACGAGCGGGTAAAGATGGCTGCCAAGCCAAGATGAACAGAGTAGCAGTCAACACTGCGCAAAGACCCAAGCAGATCTTTCTCAATCCCAACTTTTCCGCTCTCGCTCTGACTTCGAGCGTGCCGGTGCTGAGAAGCACACCTAGAGCGGTAAGGTATGTGGGATGCTGAGACAGGCTGTAGATGGAGAGGAGCACGCTTGTGTAGTGCAAAAGGGAAGCGTAGGAGATGGTCCATGCTGTGGAAGATGAGATGTGGATGGTCAAGCTGGGCCAAGTCTTGTGGAAATGTAGCAGCGACTTTTTCGAGCGACTGCCACCTGTGCTCGACATTGAGCTCAACCCTGGCGCCGCCTGCTTGCGTGTCTGCGTGGCGAGGAGAGCAGGACTGGAAGGAATGCTGGAACTCGGTGTCGAAGTAGCTGCGCGCTGCGAACGCGACTCTCGAGGCTGATGACTGCTTCTCCGCACCATGCTCGGCGTCGGGGTGTTCAGTAACAAGGGTGAAGGCGGTCTGGACCAATCTGTTGCGCCTGATCGGTCGGGTACATTTGCACCAGTGAAAGATGCAGTGTGCTTCATTCGCGGCTTCGAGGAGCTGAGCGTGCGTGGGCGCGAGCTGTTGGACCGTAAAGAGGTATCCATGACGGTCGCGCTGTCGAGGACTTGGCTAGATGGAGAGCGTGAATGGCCCTGCGAGCCAATTCTGCGTCTCCTTGCTCTCTTTATGTCCCTCGCAGCGCCCTTGTTTGACGACTCTTTGTGAGGCGTCCAACTTGTGAAGCAAAGGTCTCTCTCGCCTTGCAACACCTGCCAGCTCTCAGTCGCAGAGACGATCAATTTGGCTGAAATAAGTGCGAGGCGATCGAAATTGCTGCTTGACGATCGCTCGTTGGAAGCTCGGAAAGAGTTCGGGCTTTGGCAGAGGCTCCGAGTGAGAGCGAACGCTTGAACGTAGATGGCGAGCTTGGCTGTATCAACGCCTACAGACTCGATGGCGGAGGTGAGGGAATGCGTGCCCGAGTGTGAAGAATCTATGCATCTAGCATCTTCACTGCCGCCCATTAGAGATATCTTGGCAGCGTGGCCGCGCCACTCACACGACTCTCGCAGCTGCGAGTGGGAGTACAGTACTACGTTCATCGTTTGGATAGCCAGGCGACAAAGCGAAATCTGAAATATGCCGTTCGCCGTGCCAAGGCATCAGTCACAGTGCGAGTGCATGCCCCATCCGCGTGCAGTACACATCAACGAGTCGAGTCGGAGTCACAGTGTCCAACCTTCGATTGTGTAGGAGATGCGAGCATGAAGGACGTGCGCAAAGGATCAAGCGAACGTGTGTGAGAGAAGTCGCGCATCCGCTCCTCGCTCGATCCCCTCCAGCTTCTCCGCGTGCACCGCACTACGCAGCAGGTCCGCGCACGACGCCCCGCGCAACCAAAAAAAGCCTCTCGCTCGAAGCAGCGAGTCTTGAGTGTGAGAAATGTGCAGACACGTGATAGTTAATCGGTTTGTCCGAGGCACGGGCATAAGTCAAGGCTCTTAAAAAAGGTGGAGGTGCACGTCGAAGGTGGGGT